AACTGCCAACCATTCAGCCATTCAACAACTATGTCATTAGATATACCTGCGTCATATTATCATATAATCATGTATGGTTGAGATACTGGTGTTGTCATTGCTGTGTGCCGATGACGTATCATTGACGCAGGGTCGCTTGTCCTGTTGGTTCACTTGCCCAGTACTAGCCATTCCAAGTTGTGTGATCTATAAGTGGGTCTGATCACAACAGTAAATCATAGCCCAGCAACGAGGCTCAACACGCAATAAATTACAAATGACTTTTCTGACACAGAATCCCAGCTCTCAGAAGCAGAGGATGAAGGGGAGCCAAATTTAGATGTTGTGCACAGCAAGACCGATGAGCATGAGCCCAAAGCCCTCGATAAAATTATGACAGGCTGGGATCCGGTAGTTCCATTAGCAGGGTAGAAACGCGCATACTCCCCAGAGCTAGTAACCATGCATACAAGAAGTGGTATAGAAGAAGTGCGACATGACTACAAACGACTAAACCATGGCAAAGTAGCGCTTGCATCAACTGACCCTAAGACATGGGCTGAAGCAATATCCTCTTCCGAAGCGTCACAATGGAAAAACGCTGCAAACGAAGAATTCCGATCACTACAAGAAAAAGGTGCGATCAAAATAATACAGCGTGACGAACTCCCATTAGGACGCAGACCAATGAAGTGCAAGTGGGTATTCAAAAAGAAGTTTATAGTAGATGGTAGTCTTGAAAGATACAAAGCTTGATGTATAGCCAAGGGATATACTCAGCGAGAAGGAGTTGGCTACCATGAAACTTTCGCACCTATTCCCAGGTCCGAAACTGGACAAAAACTGCCAGCTTTAGCACACCAGTTTTGCTGGTACAGAAAGCAAGGTGATGTTCCAACGGCCTTCCTGAACCCAGACATTGATATTGATCTGTATATGGAGCTGCCTCAAGGATTTGAAAGGGGTGGCCGTCTCATATAACTCCGCAAGGACCTATATGGACTCAAACAAGCGGCAGCATTATGGTATGATGACGCACGAGCCACCCCAGCCAATCACAGTCTTCTTCCAACAATATCAGATATATGTCTCTATACAAATAAACAAAAGGACTTATTTGTTATGATGTACGTCGATGACTTCCAAGTTCTGGGACCTAACATCCAGAAAATAGACGACCTTGTGCTTACACTTCACAAAAAATACAAACTAAAAGCAGTCAACACTGATCTGTTTCTGGGAATCAACATATTGAACCCAAATACAGACACGCTATCACTTTCACAGGGTCGATATGCTCGCGCTTTAATAGAGAGGCACGGCTTATCAAATTGTAACCCAGCATCCTCTGCATTCGAACGCCTCATGGGTCCTAATGAAACAACGTGTGAAGAGCATCAAAAGACGGAATACAACTCAATTGTCGGCGGTCTGCAGTTTCTAGCAAACAACACACGCCCAGACATTGCGTTTGCAGTCAACCATCTTGCACGTTTTCTAACAAACCCATCATCCGAGCATTATCAAGCCGCGCGTCGCGTAATAAGGTATATTGCAAAAGATCCCGATCAAGGCCTTACATATACTAGAACAAGATCGAAACTACAACTTGAAGCATATACAGATGCAGACTTTGCAGCTGAAACTTCTGGTAGTCGTTCAACGTCAGGTTCGCTTATCACGCTCGTAAAAGGCCCAGTAAGCTAGCGCTCAAAGTTGCAGAGTGAGGTAGTTCTCTCAACAACAGAAGCCGAGTACTTAGCAGCCACTGAAACCTGCCGTGAGCTCCAGTAGATAAGATATCTACCTGAAGAGCTGGGCAATAGTGGTCGCATTGATGGTTCTAAGTGCAAGAAGCTTCACATAGATAACCAATCGGCGATTTCTTTAATTATGAATCATGATAACCATAAACGATCTAAGCATATTGCCCTTTCGAAATTACTACGGCAGAGAACAATACGACAAAGGATACATGAAGCCTGTATATATACCTACATCAAGACAACTAGCTGACAGTCTCATAAAGGTTAAGTCACCGGTCCCAATACAGTAACCCTTTGCTGCAATCTAACAAATACCCTAAACAATACCACATCATTTAAGAGTCGTTACCGACAAGGGGAGTGTTGTGATGGGCATGTTATACAGCTAGGATACTTGCATGTACATAACGTGATTAGATGTTTACGCTGTTTTTGTAGTTCCTGTATCGTTTGGGATATCTGCAGGAGGAAGCTCTTGTGGTCAGGATCCGACTAGCGGCATCACAGGAGTATAAGTAGCGAGTGCTCGGCACACGATTAGTATAGAACAATCAAGTATAGTGAACCTCAGATACACCTTCAACCACAACCTGAAACTCATCAATTTATATACTCGTACAAGGTCAGCATGCATAGTGATACTAACCTAAGCTCATAACCATAATACACTTTAACGCGAAATAATAAGAAACGGCATTGTATACAACTCAATTCTGCACACGGCCCAGCTCTGGTCATCCTGTGCTCAAATAAAGCAGTGTTTCAACTGCTGTCAGTGGGAGCATACCTAAGCCTCGTGCAATTGGGTAAGGATATATGGTGAGTGCGCGGGCACTTATCAGACCATGGAATGCCCGAGGAAGTCGGTGCTTTGCTGCAACTGCGGCAAAAACCATAAATCGTGGCAGAAGGGGGCGTGTCAAAACTTCGCGTCATACAAGGCCAGCGTGCAACGGGCACGGTATGAACTCCTGGAGAGAACGGCGGAATTCAGGACAGGAGAAACACTAAATACGGCATCTACTACAACAACTACGGCAAAACCTACAGACGACCAAGGGTTCACACTAATGTTCCACCAAAATCCGGAGGTACAAAAGAGAGGACCAGGACGCCCGCGCAAACAGCTCCTGGTCAACCCACCACCACAAGTATTTGGACCATCGGGCTCAAACTCAAGACCACAATCGTCTCTTTTTAGCACGCGAGAGCAGGGAAAGGATGGCGAGGTCGAGTATAATTTTAGCTAGTCCTGTCTCGGACTGAGGGCCAATTGCACTTCCTACAGGTAACGAAGGGCTATAGATGAAAAAAAAATTAACAAGGGGAGGGGTTTTTACCGCACGGTTTCCCCTTGTAAATATATAGATAGGTTCATTGCCGCCTGCATGGGCCCACATGGCGCCAAATCGGGTTAAATGAAATCAAATTCAAATATCGTCCCTACCGATCTTGACTTCCGAGCATACTAGCCAGGAAGGCGTCTGAAATACATGAGTTACACGAAGACCCCACGTCCGCAACGACTTTTTGATGCTGGGCTAGGCTCCCTCACGACAGTCACTCTCGATCAAGACTTTTCTGCCATCTTTTCACGACCTTCGGTTTGTCCAACGGCATGAATCAGTGAAAGAGGAAGTAGGAGGCTAGGAAGGTTGAGAGACGCTCTTAGGTATACACATGTTTGCTGCGCCCGGCTAGCCGGTGTCTTGGTCATAGGAGAGCCCCACACCCAATGGTTTTTGAGACTTTTTCCTGCAGTCACATACCCGCAAATGGCCATTGTTTCGTTGGCTGGAGAGGGGAGATAATGACGGGATAACGGCTTTTTTCAGTGTGTACTCGAATGAAGGCCTGTGGGGGTATTACTGCTGGAAAGAAGTCGTGATGGAGGCATAGGAGGGAGTGCACTACCCGAGGTGTAGATACTCCCGGCCTGTAGGCAGAAAGGGCCTTGCAATTGTGGTACTCTATCTACCACATGAGTCTTATCACGTGACATGATGTAAATAAATATAACTAAAGTCAATACATTAATTCTTCATGCTTCATCTAAATAGATCTACATGTCCTTATATAATCACAGACCCAATCGGATAATAAAGATAGTTAAAACAGACTGATAGTAGAGCATTATAAGCAGAGCTAAATCACACCTCGGATCCTGACATATCCCTGACTTCGGTTGATTTTCTGCGTTTAGACCAAGACCGATTATCGACAAGCATCCACCACGAGAGTGATCCTTACCGTAATGATCGCTATTCTGCGCTCAAGCCATTAGATGCATCCTGCGCTAGTCTCCTATATCAAGTATTTAGTAAATGTCTGATTCCATCGCTCTTCCGTCTAGGTCCTTGCATGCCAGTCATATCTACACAGCTCGAGGAACTAAAGAGAGATGGACGTCCTCTCTGCTGCGAAGCAAGAAAAGAAATATCCAGATAAATATGCCGAGAAAAAGATGCCTATAGCGGATCGACGATATCGCATCATTGCATGCACCACTCTGGGTTTACTTCTCATTTGTCTTTCATGGACAACCGGATGGGAATCACGCCATTTTCATGATTACTTCTGGTCTAAAAAGAGCGAGAGCCTATCCCACACCTTAGCGACCACGAGCCAGAAGCAACTTGTACCGCTTGAAGCCCACGTAATGAGCAAATGCCCTGATGCAAAGGTTTACTTACTTGAAGCGCTCTAGAGACTGATAAGGCTGACGGTAGAAAGGAATGCCTCGAGATGATGGTTATTCCTACAATGGAGCAAGTCTGGGACAAAGTTAATTTCACGCTATCATTCATTGGAACGTAAGTGATCCATTCCTCTCAGAAGATCTTACCCTTCTAACCTCACTCAGGCCAACAGCAAACGACGGTGTAGATTGCATGCATGGCCCAGGAGAATGCATGGGAAATATCATTGAGCTATGCGCCGCACATCTCTACCCTAAACCTATCATCTACCTGGGCTTCACTATGTGCCTCTCGCGAGAGTACCAAGAAATTCCGCAGCAAAGACTTGTAGAGGATTGTGCTTTAGAGCATGGAATTGATTTCAACAAGATTCACAAGTGTGCTATTAGCGAGAATGGTGGCTTCGCTATCGGTATGTTGCGCGACAGCGTACGTCGTACTGCGCAGGCAGGTGTGACAAAATCATGTACTGTTCGTCTCAACAACGAGATATACTGCATTCGTGATGGTCACAAGTGGAAAGATTGCCCTTATGGGACAGCTGTTGATGATTTGGTCACTGCGGTAGTGGATCTTTACAAATCTCTCCAGTCTTAATTGGCTCGAAAATTTCCGTCCAGAGCTCGCTTGCTTCTCCAATCCTGTAGTGTAAGGTTAGACTATCCATACCTAGCTCCTGATCTCCATTCATGTGCTCGAGTTGTTCTATGATACTTTCCAATCCAATCGCCTTGCCGACGGCTTGTGTCACACCTGCCTCCAGAGCTATGTGGACAATGTGTATATGGAAATGATAGTAGGTTGGTTGATAATGCACGTAAAGTATTAGCTGATCTACTTCGAGCCCTTCATACTTAATCAGTGTTTCATTAATTAGGTTCTTCCTCATGTTCTTGAGCCATCCAACGTGTTTCTTCTTTAAGTCTCTTAGAGTCCATAAGTCTCTTCTTTCCACAAGACCTAGTAGATGCAAGTTTTCCATGGTTTTACGATCCCAATTTAAGTCTGGTAGAAGTAGGAACCCTTCGATGTTTTCTGGGTTCTGTGGTGTCCGATAAATTACATTCTCGACTTCAGTTTTACCCTCAATGATATTCCACACCCAAGTCAAATGACCTTCCTGGCGCTTGCGGAGTATGAATGGTTGAACATAATTATGATATATCTGAGGGGTCTCGCCTATCATGCGAAAGCTTTGCTTACTGTATTTCTTTATGTGCTGCTCAGTGCACGGATAAATAAGGTTGATCTTTATATCCGCTGTAGATTCTGATAAGCTGCTGGCTACTTTGGAAGGCGGTGAAGGTGAATTTGCCAGGTACCAATGGTAGATTTCATTGACACCTAGACTCGTGAGATTGATGAGGGCGGCGGGTATCTGAGAGAGTAATGCAGGCATAGAAGGAAAAGCGGCGCGTTCAAGAATCAACAAGGCCGATTCAGATCTGATGTTGCCGAGCAAGATGGTGCGAAGGCCAGCCTGGTCTAGGATAGATAGCTTAGCTGAATGTGAACATAAACATGAAATAAGGACAGCAGCACTTCTTACCCTGGTTCAAAACTTTTTCAAGCTCAAATTGTGAAAGTAAAGTCATATCATCTGACGTGGGAATAGCCATTACGAAGGCTCAAGACAAGACGCCCTGAATAGCATCAAGGTGGACCATCTGTGGCGAGAGTTGACGTTCGGTGCGATATTAGTCAGCCAAGATAGGTGTCAACCTTTGCCGACGCTCTCAGAGGAACTAATCGCGTATTTCTCGCACAGGGTGTACGGATTGTTTCAGATCGTCATACATGGCCGAACACTAAGCCGCCTTAGCTCCGGGACTCCCCCATCTCATGTGCGAATGGCTTTGCGTTCACATGATGAGGAGCATTCGGCCTCACAGCACTCAGAAATTATACCGCGTCTCCAAAGTTTGTCCAGAATCTTATGTGATTCGTCAACAAGCAACATGTCACCAGCACCGTGGCGAGTAGAATTTCTAAGCCACATTTCGAAGATGTCCTCGCAGGAATTCGTACTCTCCTCGCTACATCTAGCACCTCCTGCAAGCTCGATTCCTTACTATCCTCGCGCTCGTACATGCATCTTTCGAGGAATGTGGGCAGAGTTAGTAGCTCATCGACTCAATCCAGCAGAATTGAACGAAAAAGCCTACGAAAGCGAAATGCTGACGATGACTACCGATGCGAGAATGGAAAAGTTGAATGAAATTATTGCTAGCGCCAATGAAAACAATGAGATTGACGGGGCTCATCAGAAAAAATATGTAAGTGGTGGAGGTGGTCCGGTAGAAGCTGTTTTTTGGGCCAAGGACTCCCGAACACAATGGAGGATAAAAGGGAAAGCATTTGTGGTTGGAAATGATATCGAAGATGAAAATGCTGCTGGAGCAAAGTTAGCTAGAGATGAGATACAAAAGGGTATGCGAGTTGTGGAGGTATGTAAACCTTTCTGATTACTCCAAGTAGTAGTGCTGCTGATACAAAAGCGAATTCTAGACGGACAAAATATGCAAGTGGAGCTGGGCTCGAGAACTCACGGCCCATTTTGGAAATCTCTCGCCTTCAATGAGAGGGACTTTCAAAAACCCCATCCCAGGCTCTCCAATCACTTGCCCTATAGAAGACAAGCGCCTCTGGTTGGGACAAGATGTCTACGACCTAAACGACTCAGTAGCGAGGGAAAATTTTTGCACCATTGTCATCAAGCCAGAAGAAGTAGAGCAGCTTAGTCTTACTGGCCCCAAAACTGCACGGCGTTGGAAATATAGCTACGTTGGGGCAGGAACTAATGACATAGGGAATTGGAAAACGGAGGAACTGTGGCCATGACAAAAGAACCTCTTCAGACATATATTGTCTCCGTTGATTATAAATTACCGCCAAAACAATAGACTCTGGCCTAGAGTTTTTAAGAAAGTAGCACTTAATACGTTATTGAGGTACTGTAGAACAATATAATGAGATAAATGTAATGATCTAACTACTGATTTTACTCAAGGCCGTCTTGTTTCAAAATAACTGAGTACCATTAGTATAGTAATCATGATTGCTGAGTATTGTAAAATTGCACGTAATGAGTAGATACTTGGTATGACATCGTTCATCATGGCAATCTGATGCGACTTTCAAGCTTTTGATACAGATAATTGAACAAGGTGTTTTTGTGAGAGATTTTGTTAGACTCAGTAGGGACTATAATAAAATTCTCATCTTATCTTGAGAGAGATGTATATTGTGCTTCTGATTATTCATCGACGAAGGCAGGGGGATTCACGATTTTATAAGTTGAGATACGGACATGTAGTATTCTAACCTCCAGCCTACGGCATATGATGCACGAAATGGAGAGGGAATGATTCAAGCTAAAATCCCAGCCGAGTCTTCATAAGACTGCAAAGGGAATTCTAAAGATTAAATTCATCTGCCTACTTAGATTTATAGTTTCCGCTATTACCCAATTAACCCTGACAGGTTTGCCCCCCCGTGCACGTTGGAGCCGCGGAGAATTGCGCCCCGGACTACCCCCACTTATCAATCTGCTAAGCGAGCATTGTACCATGGTGCCACGGTATCAAGTTTGCAAAGGACCTTAGGCAGGGGCTGTAGCGTGTAAGCTAAGACGCCTTAGGTATAGTCACATTCTATATTGGAGTTAGCCCCGTATTTGTGCAAATTTTTTAAAATTTTGTATGGCAGATTTCATCCGGACGCCATAGTTTGCAGTGGGTCTTTCCTTCGTACTAAACCTAATTTGTGTAATGATCGGCTGCATAACATTTGTGCATTTTTGCTACTAGACTTTATAACTTATTTACAAAAGTTCAAAGGTTTTCGAATTACAAATTAGAGCCAAAGTCTTATCCTAACCTTGGAACTGAACTTTTAGCTGGAATATCTTCAGGCCTTATTATCTGGTCGGTCCCCCATCCGCATCTATCTCAGCCTGACATATTGCTGGCATACTCTGAATGAGTCTCACAAGATCTTCGGAAAACACGGAATCCCATGCCACCTTCACAATGTTGCGAAGACTATCTTGAGTTCGCTGCTTTCCGCAACCTAGATTCGGATGATGTCGCTGGATCTAATCCTTCATCTTATTCCAAGCAGCTTCAGTCGGGTTGAGATCAGGCGAGTTGGCCGGCCAGAAAATCGGTTGAATGAGCCTCTGGCTCATATCTTCCATTGTAATTGCGGCTGTGTGGGCAGGAGCATTATCCTGCATTAAGGAAAGCCAAGGTCTCATCGAGACCATGCCATCGATAAGAGGAACTATCTTCTCGCAATATTTTTGGGAGTTAAAGGAACCCCATTCCTTCTCCCAAAACAAACAAGGGCCTTTTTCTAGCCCTGCGAAGCAACCCCGGAACATCCATCCGACCCTATTCTTCGATTTTTCTCCAACACAATCAGCGTTGTATTCTTGGGAAGTCTAGCTCATAATGTTAGAACATCAAGTTACCATCTTCTTATAGAGGAATATGCGAACACTTCTTGTCACCCATTCTCTAGAATATCTTCCATCCTCTATCCAGGTTTTGTCTGTCCATAAAACTGACGTCCAGTCTTCATATGTCCAATTGAGATGAGCTTCGGCCCATTCTCTGCGTGTCCTCATAGTTTTCTGAGATACTGTAGGCTTTAGACGAGCCACATATTGCTAATATCCTCTTTTTTTAAGTTCTCTTTGTATTACCCGCTCGCTAACACCAAGATGTCTAAAGGGGCCAGAGGCGAGTTCCAGAAATGATTTGTGACGGTTTGCAGGTGAAGACTCATTGTAAGATATAATCTGATCAACATGATCTGCTTTCAGTTTTTAGGATGTTTTTTTTCTCTTTTTGGGGGAGCTAGTTACGTGGCGCAGCAAATACCTAACTTGTCCCCGAGAAATGCCTAGTTGCGTGGCAATCTGCGTCTGGGTTTTGCCAGATTCATGGAGCCCATAAATCTTGAAATTTCTTTTAATTTCCATTCGATCATTCTTAATTTTTCTACATAATAAAATGTTTTGGTCTCTGGATAATTGTTTGATTCGGGGTGTTGAAGGTGGGGTTTGAGGTGGATTCATCTGCAAAATAAGGTTATTATCGAGTAAAGTCACGTGTCTTCTGAATAAATAACTTTGTATTTGAGAAATCTAATTCTTATTGTAACTCAAGCACGAGGTGACAAGAGCTGTGTAATTTTTTAGCGGTCGGCACTCATCAAAGCAATTGGAAAGAACAAGAGTGCGTGTTGGATTTGCATAAAAGTGAGGGTGACATGAAATCAAATTGTGCCCTCGGCTTAGGCCTGGAAATACAGGACAAGAATTATGTACCCTGTCGATATTGGCGCTAACAGGGGTGCAACCCATGAGGCGAATATGCGCCCCATATAAATCCACTGAAAACTTGAAATCGTGGCACCACGGTACTAGTAAACTAAAATTAGAAATGAAGAACTCTATTCGCACTTCAATTGTTTATTTTAGAATAAGATTCTTGTATGTAAGTGGTACATAAGTACTGGAAGTAGAATTGATAAAGTATTGAGTTAAACTATCGTGTATGACCCTCACGATCGCCACATCCTTCAGTGCTGCGACTATACTCCTATTAATATGTGTCTGCCTGCCTCGCCTACACGCTAATACGGAACTACTAATACAGGGTATCTAAGATTTCCAAACACCTTACGCTCTATACTCCTAAATAAGTAATAAATACCACAAATCTGGGAGACAGTTCTTTGGGATGGACGTGAGAGGGATCAGGACAAGTTTACAGGATGATGCAGAAGAGGGAAACATTCTTGACGGGCGTGAAATTTCGAACTTTGGCAAGAGTTTTACGAAATGAGCTTTGTGCGCGCCAAGACTTCGCTTGCGAGAGTGCAGGCGACACTATAAAAACAAGCCAACGATGGGAGGTGTCGTGGTCCGCCTCTTGGTGGTGTTTTCTGGTATAGTTTGAGTAGCCTGGGCACCTACTCCACTTGGGAAGGAGACATCTCAGACCACATTTCGCGCGGAGAAAACCCAGTGGATGACGGAGGCATGTCTGGATAACTCAGGGTTTATGAGACGTTCCCCTGGGTGGGTATTCACGGATGAGTGTTGACTTGGGGTGAAGAAAAAACCGGCATAACTTCGCAGTGGTACTTGCAAATGAAATCTGAGGCATGAGTGCTCTTCCCTTACGTTGAATCATCTATTCTGTACTTTTCTTTGATATTTTGTCATAGCTCGATAGCTGCATACGCAATTAAAATCTGATGCAAAAAAAGTAATAAATACAACCATAACTCCATTATGTTCAGGTACAGGAATGATTATGTTTGGCCAACAATCTTATAATTTAACAGTTTATTTATATTTACGGTCTGTCGAGCCTTTGATACTACTACAGGCCGGGAAGGAAAACTCATCACCCGTCAGTGGTATCCCCTACAAACCTCCAGCTCTCACTGTAGAGTCTGCAGTGCCGAGATTGACTATCACCGTCCTCACCTCCATGAGGATTCCCAATCACTTTGGCGGTCTGTATCGTTTTCATCTCTCTGCGCAACCCCCGTTAGCACGACTGTCATTAAGTTAACCACGATCAGATCAGACAGCGGGGTCGTATCCCTACTCACCACTCACTCTTGGTTACGCGGGAGAAGCCATCCGAAGAATTTCCGGAGCGTACCTAGCACCTGATACGGAGATGGTGGATTGGATGAAGTCAATCTTTAATGCTACAAGCAAGGGAGATATAGACGAATTTACGGATATCGTCTGGTTGGGACTGTTGGTCTTTCGATAATTTTTCCCGAGCACGCAGTTTCTATCAATACCATTTTCATATATCTTCTTTGGGTACAAGGTTACGTGTAGAGTGTGGCTGGATTCCACGGTCAATATATGATGGAGGGCTGCACGGTGCGGCGGAATACGATCCGGGCCCTCTGGTGAGTCAGAATGGGGATCCCACCATTAAATGAAGGAAACCCCCAATTAGAATGAAAAAGAAAAGTTGCAATTAAAAAGTCTGTCCTCCATAGTTGTAACTCCAAATAGGACATAAATGGATAATTAATTATACCATCCGGGCCACTCTCCTATGTAAACTCCGGGTAGCCCGAATACCCTCCCTATTTGAGGCAGGAGAAAACTTGCTCGAATCCAGTAGAACACAAACACCTCTATCTCTCAGGGTGATAATATGTTTGTGGTGTGACGAAGCACACTCATACAACCATATGGTTTTCACGCTTTTCCCTGCGGTGGGTATGCACGGAAGAGGTTATACGCCGTAAGGGTTAACCTCGAGTGGTATCTGCAAATAGAATCTGAGTGTGGGTGTTCTAAATGTCAAATTGAGTCATCCTACTAAAAGTCCATATCTTCCCATAATAACCAGCATGGGCCTGAAGGCGCCAAATCAGGATAATTAATTATTTATCTTATCATAATTTTATGCCACCTGATCTTGAGGGCCAAGTGTTATGATATGGGACAACGAGGTAGTCGAGGCTAGGGCAACGCGTTTGTATCAAGGCCACAGCATATATCACTAGTGTACTGATTAGGCGAGCATGTATATAATTTCATAGATGTATCCACAATAAATGGACACAAGATTAGTCTTGTACTTTCTGTCCATATACCTGCAGCATAGTATTGTGCGAGTCTATTCACTGTCGCCCACTAAATATAACATCATCCTCTCCTCATCACTCCGCAATAGGACTTCCGCATAGCTCATAACCATAACAAAACTGCTCAAATCTCCCTTCATGTTGAATCCACTTTGTACCTCTTGCTACATCTTTCGGATTATTCATCATTGCTTCGAATGACC